CTCGACATCAAAGCAACATATAATGGCTTCCCAAACTTTCTTTGCTAGCTAAAACCCAGAGTAACTTTCGTCTACCACAAAGGATTCTGGGAAACGCAGTTTTCTAATGAAAATACCTGTTAAATGCTCCCCTTTAGCAGAAAATTAAATCTATAATTAACAGCTCTCACCAGACCTGCTTGCTATTTTTGGTATATGCTTGCCAGTTGAGGGTTCATGGGATTGATCCATGAGTGACTGTGAACAAGTGGCTTGGCATTGATTACAACTAATACGTCACACACCTCAGTGAAAGCTGAAGTTCACCTGAGGGAAATTGTTCAATTTCGGGGACATTTCCAGGAAAAAAAATAAAGGTATAATATTTGCTTGACAGCATTTGAAAACAAATCCACCAATTTTGTATGCAGTGACTCAAGCAATGAAGCTGTCACGGCCTGAGGCCAATGGAGAAAATGGACTCTAAGGCAGACTACACTCAGAGGTGCTGGGACCGAGGGTGACAAAGCTTTATTTACAGTGGTGCAATGATGCAAGCAGCGAACAACGGTGAGAGGTGCTCAAAGTGCTTACCATTACCTAGAATTGCTCAACGTAAACAAGGAATAACTCAAAAACACTCTTGAAGAACTGAGGGCTAGCGGCAGCCTAAATAAACTTAAAACATGCTAGAAACTCTACTCTGGAACATGAACTTAGAACATGATTGGGACTAACATTAGCTTTAAACCACACAGGTTTAACTCAGAAATTCATAACCTTTTACTGTGAAATACACATGGCTGACTTGGCATTTCTATGAAACAAAATTATAAAGATCACTAGAAGTGTCCGTGTGGAAGCCACGTGGATGGGATGGAGAACCCGACACTGGCAAAGCTGCCAGTGCAGGAACTCCCGTGGAGGGGGGCAGAGGTAAGGGTTTAGTCACTGAAAGTGGGGAGAACAGGTGTTAGATGCAGGACACGACAAACTGGTCCAAAAACACTCGTAGTGACAGTAAACAGTCTTACTCATGCGCAGGAGGAGGCAAAGCTTAGAGGGGAGGTGGTCCAGGTGACGGGAGATGGTAATCCTGAACGCTGGGCAGGGAGGCAGGCAGGCACGGAGAAACTGTGAGCAGACCAGCACTGAAATCCAAACAAATTACGGCAACGGCTTGGCAATTAGTGATGTGACGTTCCGTATCGAGGCTTCAAAGCTTGTGTCGAGTAATGGAGGGGGCGTTTCCGCGA